CAGAGAAGGCTCCATGTCTCAGAAAAAAACCAATTCCTATGACTCCCTAGCACTAACCCTAACCCTAAAAGTGGACTCAATTTGCACTATACTCTAAATGGAGCTTGGGATATAATTCTTCACTAATTTTCTTAAAGTTAGCAAATAAAATTTTAGAAATTTTCTTCCCGCTGTGAAAGTGGCTTTAAAAACCACCGTTTCGGAAGCCTATTCACAATTTTGGATTTTGGATGGCTATTTTGCACAGAAAACAGCATTTTAGAAAACAATATTTCTGTGCAGAAATATTTTCTTCTGCACAGCAAAAGCTGCTTCCTATGCAAGAAATGCTATTTTCTATGCAGATCAACCACATGCAAATTTCACACAGAATAACCTCTGAACTGTAAAGATTATATCAGTCCAAGATTCTTTTTTCCAGAATTTTTCAACACTCAAAAAATGTTTTTGACCATTTTTTGAGTATTTGTGAACATTTTTTTTCATTCCCAGTTGTATGCCTTCAAGTCACTTCTGATTTGTGGTGGTGCATATCACAGGGGTTTCTTGGCAAGATTTGTTCAGATGTGGGGCTACATCTGTCTTCCTCTAAGGCTGAGAGAGTGTGACTCACCCAAAGTCACCCAGCAATTCCCAGGGCTGAGTAAGGATTCAAACCCTGGACAACAGAGTTATAAGGTGCATCTACATTATAGAAATAATGCAATTTGACACCACTTTATACGCTACAGTTCCATCCTATGGAATCCTGGGATCTGTAGTTTTACAAATTCTTTAGCCTTCTCTGCCAAAGAGTGTGGATGCATCACAAAACGGTAGGTTGAATCTATGGCAGATAAAGTGGGGTCAAACTGCATCATTTCTGCAGTATAGATGCACCCAAAGTCTACTGTTCAAACCATTACACCACAGTGGCTCTCTATTCAAGAATGTAGTTTCTATATTTCCAAAATTAGACCATGACCTACATTGCAGCATTTCTACCATGTCCCCAATTTTTCCCCCTTTCCCCTTTTGTTGTTGTTAACCTAGTATCTATTCTGAAGAAGAGACCTACAAAGCATGCTACTTTGTGTCTTTTGCATCCTTCATAAAAGTTATTATTTAACAGTAATTTTTTTTAAAAAAGCCCAAAAAGTAATGAATCAAGTTGACTTCAAGTATTTTTATAGACAGATTAATTCACTTTGAAAGAGTATCTTCCTTGCCTTTTTTGATGCTGCGGATTCATGAATTATATCTCCATGAAGTAAAATTGCTCATGTACATTCACACTTAATAGATAAAATTGCTAGATAATTACCATCTGCAGCTTTTGATGAGTTTTCCTTGCAATATCTTTCCGCTTCTGCCAGTCGCTCACTACCAGTGTGCAAAGAGTGATTAGAGGGTGTGACGGTTGGATATCTCACGCTTCCGGCTTCTGGTCCAGACTGTGAAAACTAAATCCAAATCGAGGTGCAAACTTTCAAAGCAATCCAAATGTGCCAAAAAAATATTCGGCTACCAAAACAGGACACTCAGGCAGGATTCTCACTTGCTAAGACGTCTCCCTCTCCACTCTCGCCGTCATATGATGTTGAAGTTAATGGGATTGAAATTGGATTAAATGTAGATCAGGACATAGGAACACTAACACACCAGGGTGCTTTGTGAACCTGTTCCCTGCTGACACAAGACGCTACAAATGATACAGAGGTACTGTGGTAATGCCACTGGATCCTGTGATGTCTTAAAAAAATATTTTCAATACATGATTTGTCTTTCTGTCAGTACATCTGCACTGCCATAATAATTCAGTCTGACACCATTTTAACTGGCATGGCTCAAAAATATGGAATTCTGGGAATTTGTGAGACATTTAGACACCTCTGTCAGAGAGCTCTGGTACCACACCATGCAATTCCCATTTGTCGGGTGCTTTGATTTTGAGTTCCTGCATGACAGGGGGGGGGGTTGGACTGATGGCCCTTTGGTCTCTATGATTCTAAACAACAAATATCAGCATTCCATAACATTGAGCCATGGCAGTTAAAGTGGTGTCAAACAGGATTATTTCTGCAGTTCGGACGCAGCCTGTGTATTGTGTCATTGTGGGTATTTCACAAGACATTGGACTCTCCTTCATTGGAGGCTTCCAAACAGAGGCTGGATAGCCTTCTGATGGAGGTACTCTGACTATGGATCCTCCATCAGCAGGGTTTGGATTAGATTACTTTTAGAGTTCTTCCAACTTAAAAATTCTAAGATTTGCCGGTAATCATCTGTAAATCAGGAAATTTCCAGCTCAAAGGTCACCTTTACTCTGATCCTAATAATAATAATAATAATAATAATAATTTTTATTTGATATCCCGCCCCTCTGAGGTCAATCGGGGTGGCTTACATCATAAAATCGTCATTCAACAATTATGAACACTTACCCCCCTCCCCCCCTTAAAAAGTTATTAAACCAAATACAAGTTAAAACAGCATACAAAAGAGGTAAATACCTTCATATAAAATCAATACACAAGAAGAAAAAAGTGCTGGCAGCAAGTATAAATACTGGCTTACAAAAAGGCCTGGTCATAGAAGAGGGGAACATCTCCAAAAAAATTTTTTTTGGAGCCTGAGCCGGTAGATTATTCCGGGAAGGCCTGCCGGAAGAGATCCGTCTTGACAGCCTTCTTGAAGCTGTCCAGTGATGTCAATTGACGGATCTCCTCTGGCAGGCCGTTGGGGGCGACTACAGAAAAGGCCCTGATCCTACTCCCTCCTTCCCTCTCTTCCTCCACCTCAGTCCCTCCACCTGCAAAATGGGGACAGATTATTCATCAGCCCTACAGGGCAGCTACAAAGGTGACTATACAATTGTCTGTAAAGCATCAAGTTTTGAGCCATCCCCTCCACACCCAGCCAAGGGTCCTGTGACAAGAAAGGCTTTGCTAAAAAGTGCAACAGAAGTTTGCAGTTTCCCAAAGTGTAGCGGTGTAAATATGTGGCAGCAAGGAAGAGTCTTGTTGCAATCAGAAAAAAAGTCTTATGGCAACATTTCATACCATACATTACACTCTATAGCCCACTTTGTTGAATACATGAAAGGCTCACTAGTTTTGCCATTAATTTTTAGCATTAATTAACTAATTATTTAACTAAAGCTTGCAGGTAAGCATGAAGAAAACAAAAATTATAACCACAGAGGAGCTGCAAGAATTAAATACAGATGACAAAGAAGTTGAAATAGTTAAAGATTTCCTATTCCGTGGATCAATCATTGCTCAGAACAGGAATTGTAGTTAAGAAATCAGAAGAAGACTAGAAATGGGAAGGGCAGCTATGAAAGAACTAAATAGGGTCTTAGAATGCAAAGATATTAAACTGAATACCAAGGTTAGGATCACCCAAGCCATCATATTTCCCATCACAACTGGATGGAACTGGAACTGGACAGTGAAGAAAGCTGTGAGAAAGAAAATAAACTCATTTGAGATAGGATGCTGGAGAAGAGTGCCGAGGATATTTATGGATGGCCAAAAGGACAAATAAATGAGTCCTTGAACAGATCAAGCCTGAACTCTCCCTGGAAGCAAAGATGATTAAACTGAGGCTGTCATGCTTTGGACACATCATAAGAAGAGATGACTTACTAGAAAAGATAATAATGCTAGGAAAGGTGTAGAAAGGGAGGAAGGCCACACATTAGACGGATAGAGGACAGGGCCTGCAGGATCTAAGCAAGGCAGTTAAGAAAAGGAGGGCTTGGAAGGGTCTCAGAGTCACCATGAGTCAAGGCTGACTTGAGGACAGTTAGCAAGAACAATGCACCTATACATGAAAAGAGTGCGCATGTGGAGGATGCTTATCACCTTGAAAGATTTCCTCGCCATGTAGTCCTTGCAGGGTGTCAATAAACTTAGTAATAAGGCATCCCAAACAGGCACCTTTTGCTCTTCCAGCCTGCTTAAACCTCTGATCAAGACATACAACTGTGACCAAATGTACCGCTTCGCCCATTTGTCCAAGTGATGGAATCCTGTGGCTACAACACCCACAGCCAAGTTGTGATGACAGGAGAGCGAGGCAGATCAGCAACAGAAAACCTGAGAAGCACCTTTATTAATTTATCAGCAACTACCAAAGACTGAAGCGACCATCTGCTCGGTGAGAGACCGGAGCCCAATCTGTCAGCAAATTCCTGTCTTAATTGCTGAATTTTTAGAGAACTCTCAGAAAACGAACTAAGAAGGCTATGGAACTGTGTTTGCTTTGCTGTCAGTTAAAACTTGTGGTTTCACTTCAGGTTTTGTGTGACTCTGTGAGTGTATATTTCTCCGGAAAACTATAGCAACAAATATGCAAAGAATAGAACAGCAACGGAAGCTTACAGTTTCCAACGGGTAGCAGGGTAAATCTCTTGTAGCAGAAAATAAGGTAGAGCCTTGCAGCATCTTGATTTAATACAATATATTAGAGCACGAATGTACAAGAACTATAGACCACCCATGAATGGATGAAGATTTATCTAGCCTTTCAGTTATGTTTTGATGGCTAGCAGCCCCAGATGATGAATTTGCTCTGAAGTTTAGTCTGAACTTTAAAGGAGCTAGTCAGGGTAGTGAATCAATTTTGAGGGTATAGTTTAAAGCAGGGGTCGTCAACCTACGGCCCGCAGGCTGCACCCAGCCCGCCAACCCCTGCCGACACCCCCCCACCGCCACCGCGCACCGCCACCACCATTTTGTTTGCAAAAATGGTGGCCGCGGCTCGTTTGCGCATGTGCAGTACTCCTGCGCATGCGTGAACGAGCCGTGGCTGCCATTTTGGAAATCAAAATGGCGGCCACGGCTCGGCACATGTGCGAACGAGTCACTGCCACTATTTTGTTTTCCAAAATGGCAGCCGCGGCTCATTTG